CCAGTGCCCTACCCTTTTGAGCCACAGGCGCCGCCCGCCAACAAGTTCTTAACATGTTTTTCCCTCCCAAGTTAATCTCAACCTCTTAACATTCTTAATATTCAAAACTCCATCATTCCCTTAATTTGGCATATTCCACCTATATATTACCATCAATATCCTTCCTTCCCTTCCACTGCTGACCCACCCTTGCCCTCCAGGTTTCACAGTGCTCCCTCCACCCCCAGCAGGAGAGGAATTACCTGAGCCTGAGCAGACAGGAGGCACTCTCTGGGTAGAGGACAGGGATAGGAGTGACAGGGCCAGGACTGATTGTCAAAGGAAACACTGGCACAGGGGCACCCCAGAGTTCCAAATGCCCTTCCCCTGAGGCATTTCCCCTGGCAGGAGGCAGGTAACTCCAACTGGGGAACAGAAAGAGATGGCCCAACCAAGAAAGGTCCAGATCTATGAGCTAGAAAAGACCAAGAACAAGGGTTATCCAGGACCCTAGCATCCAATCCCCCCCCCCATCCTCTTTTATTCCCTCAGAGACTTAAACAGACTTGCTCCCTAGACATCATTCTAATTAGGATCTAAGGTAGCTGACCTTTGCCTTCTACTCACCTCACAGCACAGGACTCCAGTGTTATCTCGCACATAGAGGCTTCCATCCCTGCATTCTTGTTCCCCTGATATGTCTGTTAGCATCCCTAAAAGTAAAAGCCGCTCCCGTGGCAGAGCAGTCCCATTTGGTCTAGCCTCCTGGGCCCAAGCCTGGTATGTACTACTGCTCCAGGACAGGTGACTGCAACATGGCAGATGCTGGTGGGTCCTGAGGTCCTGTACTGATACAAAGCTGTAGAGTGAAGGGGGCACAGAGGTTCTACAAAGTCAGGTCCAAGCCTAGGAGGTTACCTTCAACCCCAACAAATCTCCAAGAACCCAAGAGAAGGTTGAAGGGGAACAAGGAGTAAGAGATGAGTTTATATGATTGATTGAAAGGGAAAAAGCTGGAGGATAAAGGCATAAGAAAATGAGGATGGTGCTGGGTCCAAAGGCTGAGCAGTACCTAGGGAACACAAGAAAGATTGCTGAGTAATATCTTGAACAGGATGTTGCCAGGTGTGATAGGTGCCTGTAATCCCAGCTACTCAGGAAGTTACTTGAAACCAGCCTGAGCAAGAATGAGACTCTGTCTCTACTAAAAGTAGAAACAACTAGTAGGGTATTGTGGCAGACACCTGTAGTCCCACCTACTAGGGAAGCTGAGACAAGAGGATTGCTTGAGCCAAGTGATTTTCTTGCCTCAGTCTCCCTAGTAGCTGGGACTACAGGTGTCTGCCACAACACCCTACTAGCTGTTTCTACTTTTAGTAGAGACAGAGTCTCATTCTTGCTCAGGCTGGTTTCAAACTCCTGAGCTCAAGCGATCCACTCACCTCCGCCTCTCAGAGTGATGGGATTACAAGCATGAGGTCGCATATTCTTTAGTTCAGCTAAATTCTTTTTCACAGACAAGGCTCTCAACAAAGGAAGCAGGGTGCTAATTTTCATTCTGGCAGACCAGCATTTTAAGTACTATTGGTTTATAATAAACACCATGGATTAAAAAATGTACACAGAATTATGAAATGATGTTTAGATATTTAAGTTGTCTTTTCACCGAAGATCCTTTGCCTTTAGAGACACAGACAGCCCGTTTGTGCGAAGTATTTCCCCAACTGTTGTAAGTGGGTTAAGAGAGTGCCAGGGAAAAATATCCTTACCTAAACAGAGTTCTACTTTTTTTATTTTTAAAAGGATAAATAGTGGGCGGTGCCTATGGCTCAGTGAGTAGGGCGCCGCCTATGGCTCAGTGAGTAGGGTGCCGGACCCATATACCGAGGGTGGTGGGTTCAAGCTCAGCCCCAGCCAAACTGCAACAAAAAAATAGCCAGGCGTTGTGGCGGACACCTGTAGTCCCAGCTATTCAGGAGGCTGAGGCAGGAGAATCACCTAAGCCCAAGAGTTGGAGGTTGCTGTGAGCTGTGATGCCCCAGCACTCTACCAAGGGCAATAAAGTGAGACTCTGTCTCTAAAAAAAAAAAAAAAGAATGGTGACATGTATATTCACAGACTAGAATATCATAGAACCATTACATGAGCTCTATATGTAGATCTACAGCTATATGTAGTAATATGACTAAATTTCAGAAGTATAATGTTAAGCACAAAAAGCAAATTGCAGAGAGTATATAAGGTATGGTACAATTTATTTAAAGACTAAAGGTAAGCAGATCTCTACTGTATACTGCTTAGTGATAGATGCTTGTGTAGTAAAAATTATAAAAATAGACTCAGTGCCTGTAGCACAATGGTTACGGCGCCAGCCACATACACTGAGGCTGGTGGGTTCCAACCCTGCCTGGGCCAGCTAAACAAAATGACAACTGCAACAAAAAAATAGCCAGGCATTGTAGTAGGCACCTGTAGTCCCAGCTACTTGGGAGGCTGAGGCAAGAGAATCTCTTAAGCCCAAGAGTTTGAGGTTGTGGTTGCTGTGAGCTGTGACACCACAGCACTCTACCGAAGGCAACATAATGAGACTGTCTCAAAAAAAAAAAAAAAAAAATATATATATATATATATATATTCATGAAAATAATATACTCCACATTCAAGAAAGCAGCTACTTCTATGAGGAGGTAAACAGATTTATTTTTGCAGGACTTTTCAGAGTCCTTACTATGTTAATAAGCCCTGTGACTCTCCTAGAGCAGGTTATCGTATTCAATGTCTTTCAAACTTATTTGGCCATAAATGGCAGTAGAGTAAAATAAGCAAATACAAAACTATGTTCTCAGAGGAGCTTAAACTCAGGTTGTAAACACAATGATCTTTATTTCATGAAGTCACAAATCTCTCTGTATCTTAATTTCCTAATACATAAAACAAAGATAGTACCAGATTTTTTTTTTGTTATTTCCTCACTTTGAGAGCTTTTTCCAAAATTTCTTCCTATCTTCCCCTCTTCCTCTCCTTTTCCCTAAACTTGACTTAACCCAATTTAGAAGAACTTTAGGAAAAGGAAAGCTTGATGGAGGATGGGAACATTTTGCAGATGTGTTTAGCTGGGTATGGTGGTGTGTGACTATAGTTCCAGCTACTGAGGAGGCTGAGGCAAGAGGATCGCTTAAGCCCAGGAGTTTGAAGCTACAGTGAGCTATTGATGATGCTGCTGTACTGTAGCCTGGGCAACAGTGAGGTCTTATCTCAGAAAAGAAATAAAAATAAATAAATAAATAAAAAGAAAGAAGGGGATGTGTTTAGGCCACTTTGTCCTCCACTCACTCTTCTCACTTTCCCTTTTCTAACTACAGGTCCTTCCTTTTCAACCTCAAATTCAACCTCCCCGCACAACCCTACCTCCTTACCTATAGCTGAGGGGTAGTGTGTAATCCTGGTTCCTTCCCTGAGACAGCCAGACAGTCTTCACACAATCAATTACCAACTGAGTCAACTGAACGTTAGGTTCCTTGCCAGCTGAACACAGGGTTTCTTGGATGAAGGCCTGGGCAGCCTCAAGCCAGGTTTGTTCCTAAGGAAAATGAATCTAGTTAAAACATGACTATTTTACCCACCATGGAAACTTTTGAGAAGAATAAAGGACTAGAAAAAAGAATCTAGTGGGGTAGCACCTGTGGCTCAGGGAGTAGGGCACCGGTCGCATATACCAAGAGTGGCAGGTTCGAACCCGGCCCCAGACAAAACTGCAACAACAAAAAAAGAATCTAGAGAGCATGTAAAGTGAAGATCAAAATAAATGAGGCTGGGCATGGTAGCTGACCACTTGAGTCCAGGAGTTTGAGGCCAGCCTGGGCAACACAGGAAGACCATATCTCTTTTTTTTTTTTTTTGAAATAGAGTTTCACTATGTCACCCATCATGGAGTGCTGTAGTGTCACAGCTCACAGCAACCTCAAACTCTTGGACTTAAGCGATTCTCTTGCCTCACCCTCCCAAGTAGCTGGGACAACAGGTGCCTGCCACAATGCCTGGCTATTTTTTTGTTGCAGTTGTCATTGTTTAGCAGGCCTGGGCCAGGCTCAAACCTACCATCCTTGGTCATAAGGCCAGTGCCCTACTCACTGAGCTCTGAGCACCAAGCCAGTAAGACCCTATCTCTACAAAAAATTTTTTCTTTAAAGTAGCCAGGTGTGGCAGCAGGAGGATCACTTGAACTCATGATTTCAAGGTTGCAGCAAGATATTTAATATGATGGTGTTACTGGACTCTGGGCAAGAGAATGAGACAATGTCTTCTAAAAAAAAAAAATTTAAAAACATAAAGGAGTTTAGAACTTGAAGAAACCCTACACATCTTAGTCCAGCCAGAGGCCTACTTTAGACAGCTGGCCATACAGCTTTGGTCTTACTTTTTCCTCTAACAAATTTGTACTAATTCTTAAAATGCTCAACTAAAATATCTCTTCCTCTGTAGAATTTTCTCTGACCATCCCAGGTGGAATGCTGCTTTTTCCTTAAATCTCACAGCACCTTATACCTAGCTCTATTGAGAACAATGATCACCACATTTAGTGGTATCCCATTTTACATGGAGTCTGGTTTTAAAGTCAGCAATCTGGGCTCGGCGCCTATAGCTCAACCGGCTAAGGCGCCAGCCACGTACACCTAGGGTGGCGGG